GGACATTTGAACAACATTAATTCTTCCAGTCCATGAACATGGGATATTTTTCCATTTATTGGTATCTTCTTCAATTTATGTTTTATAGTTTTCAGTGTATTGGTTTTTCACCTCTTTGGTTTTATTCCTATTTTATTTTTAGCTATTGTGAATAGTATTATTGATTTTTTTTCATTGTTATTGTATAGAAATGCTACTAATTTTTGAATGTTGATTTTTGTATACTGCAACTTTACTGAATTCATTTGTTCTAAGTTGTTTGGTATAAGATTATGTTGTCTGCAAACAGGGACAATTAAACTTCTTCCAGTTTGGATGTCTTTTCTTTCTCTTGCATAATTTCTCTGGCTAGGATTACTGTGTTGAACAGAAGTGGCTAGAGTGGGCATGCTTGTCTTGTTGCTGATCTTAGAGAAAAAGCTTCTACCTTTTCACCGGTGAGTTAGGATGTTAGCTCTGGGTTTGTCATATATGTATGGTTCTTCATTGTGTTAAGGTACATTCCTTCTATACCAAATTTAGTAAGATCAAATACATTAAAGTGAGCTCAAGTTCCACATTAAACAGTAATTTAATTTTGCTATAACGATTTTGTATGACTTTTGTAATTGTTTTTGAAATTAATTTCATTTGCAGCTTTTTTTTCCTTTGGCACTGTAGTACTTTTTCAGGTTGCAAATGTTTTCACAAGCTTTGAAAGACTTGGAAATCTTGCACATGGTGCTCACCAGGCCCAAAGACAAAATGGCCAGAGATCCTATGGACTCAGCCTAGTGGAGCACTGACCCTCTAGAGTGAGAAGGGAGATCCTGGCAGAAGGCAGCAGTGGTACCGCATGACAGTTTGGGGGAGGGATTGAAAGTCTATGTCAAAGAGAACAGAAAACCTTTTTAGGTTGTCTTCTGGCAATGATTTATTATTTTTATTATTTTCTTTATTTCAAAGACGGGGTTTCATCATGTTGGTCAGGCTGGTCTTGAACTCCCAACCTCAGGTGATCCACCCGCCTTGGCCTCCAAAGTGCTTGGATTACAGGCGTGAGCCACCACGCCCGGCCCTGGCAATAATTAAACAAAGAAAATGAACATAGGAAAGATATTTCTACTCCCATATACATGCTCCAGTATAGGCCAATGTAAGAAAGCCTAGGGCTGAGGGCACTCACAGGGCAACACCTCCAAAAGATGAGGACGTCGTGAGCTTCCTAAGCCAGGTAGCCACAAAGACGTTGTGGATCATCCACTGACCTAGCAGGCAAGGAGTGTCACTTGGCCTGTGAAGAACACTAGCATACAGCTGGCCTTTCTCACCTACATTCAGATCCAACATCCACTGATTCAACCAACCACGGATCAAAAATATTGGGGGAAAAAAACTAATTATAAATTAACAATGGGCCAGGCGCAGTCTCTATAATCCCAGAATTTTAGGAGGCCAAGGCAGGAAAATAGCTTGAGCCTGTAAGTTTAAGATCAGCCTGGGAAACATGGGGAGATTCCAACTCTACAAAAAATAAACTGGCTAGGCATAGGGGTGCACACTTATGGTCCCACCTACTCTAGAGGCTGAGGCAGAGGACTGCTTGAGCCAGGGAGGTTGAGGCTGCAGTGAGCCATGTATGTGCCACTGTACTCCAGCTTTGGCAATAACACAAGACACTGTCTCAAAAAACAACAACAAAGCAACAACAACAACAACAACAACAACAGCACATTACAGGCTGGACATGGTGGCTCGTGCCTATAATCCCAGGACTTTGGGAGGCCAAAATGGAAGGATCACTTGAGCCCAGGAGTTTGAGATTACATTGAGCTAGGATCATACCACTGCACTACAATCTGGGCGACAGAGCAAGACCCTGTTTTCAGAACAAAACAATGCAATACTGAAAATACTACAGATGAAAAAACCAATACAGCATAATAACTATTTACATAGGATTTATATTGTATTAGGTGTTATGAGTAATCTAGAGATGATTTAAACTATGTGGGAGGATGTGTGTGGATTGTACGCAAATACCATGCCCTTTTATATAAAGGACATGAGCATCCAGAGATTTTACTGTCCTTAGGGGATTGTGGAACCAGACCCCAACAGACACGGAGGGATGAATGTACTAAACACAGCAACTTTAGGGGCTCGTATCCAGATTACATAAGCCCATACTAGAGCCAAAGAAGGTGGAGGACGAATGGGATTCATTCTTCCAGATAACGTGTAGGTTTACTTGACTGTGGAATGCCAAAGGACAAACAACTGCAAATTTTGGAAGACTCATTGGCCCAATGAGATCAGCTATTGTCCCAGTGACTTCAGAAGGCTTTGGTTTTATTTTGCCCTTCTGTAGGAAGTAGATGAGGTGCTGTAGAGGCCATGAAGTGCACCTGAGGTCTCCCTTCAAAGACAAGCTGTCTGTAGAGTAGTTGGCTGTCAGCTTCCGGCTGCAGCACTTTTGTTAGTGTTCAAACTGAGGGCTCAGACTCCCCAGGTAATTGCCGGTCAATGACCAAAACAGGGACACTGGTACTTTGCCATTCCTGCCTAATACACGCCTCCTTTATGGGCAATCTTTGTGGCAGAACTCCCACACTGGCTGCTCAGGCCATCTTCTGAACTGCAGGCAGTCTGAGGCTCTCCCTACCTAATCCTTCTTCCTCACGTGCCCTTCTTTTACAAATGTCAAACCTGCATCATGGTCTGAAGGCCATCCCTGTCTACTTTTGATTCCTTGCCCCTTTGACTTTCACTGGTACACCTTCTAATAAATCCTTCGCACTTCTAACTTCATCTTGGGATCTGCTTCTTAAGAACCCAAACTCATGCAGCTGTCTACCCTCACAGTGTGACTGGGCAAAGCTCACTTACTTTTTTTTTTTTTTTTTTTGAGACAGTTTTGCTCTTGTTCCTCAGGCTGGAGTGCAGTGGCATGACCTCAGTTCACTGAAACCTCCTCCTCCTGGGTTCAAGTGATTCTCCTGCCTCATTCTCCCGAATAGCTGGGATCACAGGTGCCTGCCACCATGCATGGCTAATTTTTGTACTTTTAGTAGAGATGGGGTTTTACCATGTTGGCCAGGCTGGTCTCAAACTCCTGACCTCAAGTGATCTGCCTGCCTCAGCATCCCAAAGTGCTGGGATTACAGGTGTGAGGCACCACACCCAGCCAGACTCACTCTTTTGAAATGCGAAGGTCTAAAGAAAAATCCTCTTAAAATGTAGCCATGGGAGGGCACTGAAAAGAAATGCAGTGTTTCACTGGATGGCTGCAAAAGAATGTAGACTCCTAAAAAGATGGCTTGACATCTTCTGGGGGTTTATTTTACCATTTACCTCTGAGGATGGCTGAAGAGGAATCATCCTGGGAGCTGGTCATAATATTATTTATTTTAAAAATATTTATCATTTATTAAGTATGTATTATGTGACAAGAACCATAAGAGCTTTCCATACATTGTTTCATTCAATACTTACACAATTCTAATAGTTATCTCCATTTTTCAGATAAGAAAATGAAGTTAATCAGACGTTGAGCTTAGATTTGAATCAAGGACTATTTAATGCCAAAGCTTACATTCTTTAACCTTTAAGTCACACACACACACACACACACACACACACACACACGCACACACACACACGCACAATGTGTTTAAATTTTGAGTTTCCAAGGAAAAATAAAACATGAACTAGAAGAGAGAAACATGAAATAAAACAAATATGGAGAAAAATGAAGACATTGAGTAGAAGTGGACTAGAAATCTGCAAAGAGAAAGACAAAAAGGCAGGGAGGTTTTGTAGGGAAAGTTTTAAGTGTCGATCTTTTACTAATTATATGTTCCTAGAAACATACAGTATCTCTGGGTCTCAGTTTTCATAGATCTATTAATGAGGTCCTTTACTAGATGGTCTCTAGATTTCATTTGAGCTCTAACATTATATATTTTCTTCTTAGAGCTTTCTATTTATCATTTTGTATAAAACCAACAAGTTTAAAAGCTTTCACTAAATCCCACAAGAAACAATATGTTCTGTTAGGCACCCAGCATGAAGAGAAGATTTCATAATTCACCAAGAGAAGCAACCTGCTAGCATAGCAAGAGGATGTGACAATGATGACGTTTCGTGTGCGCAGGTCCTAATAAAAGTAATTCATGGGCCGGGCGCGGTGGCTCACGCCTGTAATCCCAGCACTTTGGGAGGCCGAGGCGGGTGGATCGAGACCATCCTGGTCAACATGGTGAAACCCCGTCTCTACTAAAAATACAAAAATTAGCTGGGCATGGTGGCGCGTGCCTGTAATCCCAGCTACTCAGGAGGCTGAGGCAGGAGAATTGCCTGAACCCAGGAGGTGGAAGTTGCGGTGAGCCGAGATCGCGCCATTGCACTCCAGCCTGGGTAACGAGAGCGAAACTCTGTCTCAAAAAAAAAAAAAAAAAAAAAAGTAATTCACTGCCAAAAAGGTCTGTTCAGTTTGTTTCAGGCTCTTGCTTGGCATGAAGTCCTCATGAATAATCACTGTGCATCTTTTGTTTAAAAACCGGGATACAAGCAAACTTTTAATCTTTTACCTTTTAAACAGTACACAATACCATTACCTACTTATGACACACTTTTTTTTGTGAGAAAAGGTGTGTGAAATGTGAAAAGTGCTTTGAAGAATAACTTAAAAAGCCTCATTTGAGTCTTTTTCCATCTTCTTCATTTTTCTCTAGATTTACAAATGAGTAGATTTTCTATAACTACTAATTGCTGTTTCATCAATCTTCAGGGAAAAGTTAAAAGGCCAGCCACCATCAGTAGTGAGGGCAAGAGGAGAAGCTCTACACCAGATTACCAACTCAGCTCCACAAGCCTGATTCTGTCCTGAAGGGTTTCCCAGATAATGTAGGTAAATGCAGTTAGGAAAAACAGTGTGAGTGTCTGGGAGGAATGAGATGGAGAAAAGAAAAGAAAACACATTATTCTTTGAGAAAGAGAAATGTAAAAAACTCACTAGT